TTGTAATATACGTGCTTATTTCTTTTGTAAACTTTAGTATGAAATATGATAGTACCCGTTTCTGCAATAAATATGTAGTAGTGATGTTTGCGTTGAGAACCCAAGCAGACGGTGCTGATAGGGCTGAAAGTTAATAACCGGGGGATTAGGCCTTTTGTTTTGAAATTTCAGTTGAAATACATCACGGTTTCTGGAGGTTTCGGAATTTGTAATCAATCCACTGTTCCACAGAACTGAAGGATCACATATTAAAGTCATATACATCTTTGCAAGGTTACAGAGCCAACCAATCTAAAAAGAGTACCCACGCTCCGAGCAAGAACAGACATAATGCAAAAATACTGCTTATACTAATAAGATAATTATTATTTCACAAACCAGCATCAAGTATAATACATGAATTGGTCTTTAACAAAACTGTACAAAAACCCCATCTAGAAACAAGGGGCAACAAAAGGGAAGAAAAATCTTCATCCAACCTACCTGCAGCAAATCTCCAATAAAAGATGCTATAACATAACAGAACCTAACCACGTCTCTTCTATAATCAAGTAAATTTTTCTCAATGCTCTAGCCAATTTTCTTACTACTACAATTTCACTGCTGAGAAGCTCCCAAAGAAGCGACAAACATCTCGCAGCAAAAAGCAAAAGATCAACGCTGCAGTGCCCATCATGCAAGTACACAGAACCAAGCATTTCTTGCTTGCAGAGGAGCAACGACCGAAGAAATCCCACACTCCTTTCACAAGTCCTCCACCCCTTTTCTTCGCACTGAGATCTGTTCGAACTGCAATCCTATGAGAACTCAAAGTAACTGATGCTGGTTTGGCTTTTGTAGTAGGTTGTTTCTCATCAGGAGGATCAAGTGCAGTAGGTTGTTTCTCATCAAGAGGATCGAGATGGAAATCTTGGTTAATTTGGATGGTTCCGCTAAGGGATTCACCATTCCTTGATTCCATTTTGCTCGTACGGAGCCTGACCCTATGGTTCAGAGTTGGGCAAGTGGGTTTCGGTTCTCGTTCTCTTATTTGAATACCAGTCCAGGTATTGTAATCATTTAGAGCACAGTCATCATTGTTCATATCTGCAAAGATATCTCCCAGTTGGTCATCGAAAGAACCCATGTATCCAGAGTCAAGTTCTCCAAAGGCGTGGATGTTCTGACCATCAGACTTTAGGATATCATAGAACTCGTCAACTTGAAATAGGAGGTGTGGGTCCTCTGAGATTCCAGGAACAAATTGTGAATCCATCGGTTCCTGATTGACGACAGCTAGAGAACTGAGTACCTCCTGTGAAATCCCAAAAGAGGGCAGTTAAATGAGAAATTAACATTATGTTTAAAAGTTGACGCCAAAAAAAGTGCGTAAGAGTGTTCAGTTATGAGTTCAACAAGATATGACTTCACATTAGGAATGTCTGTTCCACAGATAATGATTAGACCCCCTGTTCTATTGCCTAATTGCTAATAGACCCCATGTAGTTCTTTTTCTTGTGGATAGACCCTCCATTTATTATCGCCCAAGTGCAAATAGACTCCCCAAGTGAAACTTTTTTGGACTCTTTTTACCCTTGGGATGTATATTTGTCAAAAAAACTATTCTCTAAAAGTAAAAGAGTCAAATTTCACTCAGGGGTCCATCGGCAAAAATAGAACTAGAAGGATCTATCCGACCCATGATTATATGAAAGAGGAATGTAAAATGTGCTCTTTCATAAAGTTAAACTTCATTTATCCTTGCTTTGGTTAGTATGATCCACATGGACTTTTATGTTAAAGACACAACTTAATTTTAATAATGCAAGTGTTTTGTCAGAAAAAACAACAATTAAACCACCTCTAGATATATCTAGATTCAACACAGGTGGAAAAAGTAACCTCAGAAGTTATTGAAACTTTATCAAAAAAGCTTAGTATTTCTAAACTACTTACACTTGATGGTGAGCAATATACTTCGTCAGTCATTCATACTGACACTAAAATATCTGATGATGATGACAATTTGATTGAACAAGATCAGATATTGGAAGTAGAAAATGAATTCTCTACTGTGAATAAAATCACAGGACGCCCTAAACAATTAGAGCGTTACTATTATAAACGTCCATGTTAATGTATTATTTGAAGAAAATGATACATATATACAAGCCGATTATAATGATAGAAATATTTATGACTTGAATATTGACGGTTTATCCGATAATTAAATATACTCCACTATGCATTGTATGATAATGTATTCCAGTGTCAGTAGACAAAATGATAATTCTGATAAGCTTATAGCTTCTTACATTCTTGTGGTTTTACTGATATTTTAAAGGGTTGGTGGGATAACTACCTTACACTTGAGTCCACAAATAAAATACTAAATGCCATAAAACAAGAAAATGCACAGACAAGTGAAGATGTTGTGTATACATTGATATTGGCTATAACAAATCATTTCACTGGTGCGTTTATAGACCAATGTGAAAAAATTAGGACATTATCACAGAACCTTAGATGTCCTTCTTTAACCCATTTTAAATGGTACAAAGACACATTTCTAAGTAGAGTAATGAATCTCTACGATGCTAATAGCACCCATTGGAAGTCCAAATTCATTGATGGACTATCAAATCTATTTGCTGAAAGAGTTCGAAATCAACTAAAAGGAAATCATGGTGGATTCGTTCCCTATGACTCATTTTCCTATGGAACTCTTATCAAAGCTTGTATAAAAGAAGGCTTAGCTTTATGTAATGATATAAAGCTTAAAAATCAACTTAAATCTCATAGACTTGCAAAGAAGAAAAAATTAGTCAAATTCTATCAACAGTTTGCTTTTGATCAGCCTTATAAAACTGATAAGGGAAGACAAGTCAAAAGAAAATCTAAGGACAGAAAGAAACATTCTTTAAAAAAGAAAAAGAATTTTTTTTTTAAAGAAAAGACACAGGTGATCGTCCTAAAAATCATAAGAGAGATAACAGTAACTTTAAATGTTACAAATGTGGTAAGACTGGTCATTATGCCAGCAAATGTTATACAAAGAAAAAGATCAATGAAATTGAGGATGAAGGTCTAAAAAGAACTGTGTATAAAATCATGATCAGCAGTGATACTGAAAGAACAGATAATAAATATTATTTATCCTCTTCCTCATCTTCCTCTGAAGATGAAAAACCTTGCCACTGTACAATTAATAATTGTCAGTCTAAGGACAAATCAGACTATTGGAAAGTCACAGTCGATATGAATGGATTATCTTTGAATGTTATTACTTCAAACAAAGAATTAATCTTAAAGATACTTTCTAAAGAAATAACTCCAGAATTAAAAAGAGAACTTCTCAACCTCTGCATAGATAAAAATAAAGTCAACGAAAAACCTAATATTGACAATGTCTATCGAATGTCAGAAGTTATGAAGAGAAGACAAAGTAATACATCTAAGTTACTATCCCTATATGATCTCAACAAAGAGATTTAGACATTAAAACAAAAAGTAAAACTTTTAAAGCAAGAGAATCAATACATGTTGGCCTTCTTGTTTTGATGATGATTTACAAACAATTTACTACTAATGTTGTTTGTCTAGTGTTTGTGCATTCCTATGTATTGTAGACAAACAACGTAGTTGGAGGATGGATGGATTGCGCCATAACGACGATATCAAATGGAGGTTGGCGGAATTGTGGAGTGAAGCAACATGCAATTCATAGTTAAAGATCAAGTTCAAGCTTCATCCGCATGTGTACCAAGTTGAGCTACAATGAAGATCAAGATAAAGCTTGGGTAATCTAATTTAGATTTTATATTATGTGTGTTAAGTACCTTAAGCTCAATATCATACACACACACGTATTTGATTTCTATGTATATATATAGTTATATATATACATGCATGGTTTTGGGTTTTTATGTTTTGAACACTTTTGCAAAATAATGAGATTTCATAATTGGGAAATGCAAATTGGAAAATTCTTTTTGTAACATGTTCAAAATATCATTTGCAAACATTTCTCAAAGTTTCATCAAGTTTGGAATTGATTTGTTATGTTTAAAGGAATTTACAAATTCACGTTTTCGTTCGTGCACATGTTCGTGCATGTTTTACAAAACTGATGAGTTTTTACAAATGAGAAGTGATATTTGAAAAATTCTTTCTCTGACATGTTTATATACATGTTTAGAAACTTTCCTCCAGTTTTTACTATTTTTGGAGTTGATTTACTGTGCCTACTTGATTTTACAAAATCGTGTATCACAGCAGATTTTCAGAAACTGTATTTTTGTGTTCAAACATTTATTTCTCTCAACTGGGAAATGATTTTTCAGAAATTCTTTCTCTGACATGTTAATCTACATGTCTAGAACATTCCCACAAAATTTCATAATTTTTGGAGTTCATTTACTATTTTAAATTGATTTTACAAAATTGCTGTGCATTGCTACAGTAATCCGGTCGACCGAAATTTTGGTCGGTCGACCGAAATTTCCTCCGGTCGACCGGTACGGTCGACCGACGCTGTTTCTGCTCGATTCCCAGGTTGGGATCTTCATCGCGGTCGACCGACGATATTTCCGGTCGACCGACTATGTGACCGTTGCTTTCTAACGGCTCTTTTCTGAGCCGATTTTCTCTGGGTCTTTTTGTCCTTTTCTTGGGTAGTTTTTGGCTGAGTTGTGAGAGGGTATAAATACCCATTGTCTTCAACT